GGGGAGCAGGGACACGCCGACACCTACCAAGTCCTAAGGGAAGGGAGAGGACAAGTCACGGAGCTCACCGGAGCGCTCGGGACATCACAGACATCACACCTCCTGCTACTGCTCCCCGGCCGCAAGCGCCAGCACAGCCCCGCATCCCGTCCCCAGCGTGGCGGCTATTTGGGCTAAAGCAGAGAAGGGGTGGCCAAAGGGCGAGAGCTGTATGTGGATGGGTAAAGCCACGGCAGGCGCTAGCACTAGACATTAACTACCTACTACAAGTCTTAAACTCATGCTGTACATCTGTGCGTATCCTACGCGAGGTTGTAAACGTGAGGCCCCGGCACGCCGCGGCAGGCTTCTGGTGCTAAGGGAGAGGTTTTGGGGTGCAGCACCACCCCAAAACTAAAGCAGGCAGCTTCATCCCACCATGCCGTGCAGAGGATCCGCACCTCCAGGCCAGCGGCATTCAAGCTTGCCCCAGCACATCAAAGCCCATCAGGAACGTTTAAGGTCTGTGTTGGAACCGGGAATGCTCTGCAGGGAGAGCGATCGCACCCGCTCGCACCAAGCTATGCAGCTACTGGTAATTCCGTGTCCTGGATGCACTGCTCTTAGTTCCTGATTTGAGCTGGGACCACAGCCAAAGGACAGCCTGGGTAAATTACCTGATGGTACAGTGTCTGCTGGTTAACATGGAACTGCCTGCCACACCTCCCTCCCACACGCCTTAACTGGAAAAAGAGCCAACAGCCCCTGTAGTTTCCCGTACATCAGATCTAACCTTAACACTCCAGGTTTCACACTCTGATTGCTAACCCTGTCAACACTTGTTTTCCAGCCAGGCAGCCTCTCTGGAGCATCCCAGCCCCAGCCAGGAGCTGCAGCAGGACCCAAATTCCCAGCTTGCAGCGTATCACACTGCCACATGCACCTGCAGCACAGCGAGCCGGCAGCGGGCTTGGTTGCCAGTCAGATCCATGGACTCTACAGGACACAATATTTGGGGTTTAAAGGCAAACTCATTTCCTTTGTGAAAAGGCATCTATCACCTCGGCTAAGCAAGCTACATACACCAGAGAGGTTGGGTTGTATGTCCCAGGCCTCCACAGCTGAGGTATCCTACAAGGAAGGAGAAAACCAAAAGCATCGTGCTGCTGCCAGTAACTTGCCAGTAATGCAGCAGACACAGCCACCTCTTAAAACGTTTGTTTGGGAAGGGGATAACTGTGTGAAAACGAACTTGTTCACTACTGAACATTGGGTCTGTGGGCTGACATGAAGAAAAGACAGAAATATGGGTTCTTTTCTGTCGATAAACTCCAATTCAGCCAGGTGTAGTGTAAATCTGGAGAAAGCAAGATCCTTCTCTGTGCTGAAACACGTGCTGCAAGTTAAACTAGCCTGTGGCGGCGCGGGGAAGCAGAGCAGTAATTAGTGGGCACTAGGACAAGAGGAAAGAGAACAAACCATCCTAAACCACGGCACCCTCAGCCACCTCCTCGCAGCGTGGTGGGGCCCGTGGCACACACCACACATCACAAGGGTGCTCTCTTCACCGCGACGTGACGGCCCGTCCTGCGGCCGGCGGGGAGCGGCGGTGGCAGCGCTTATGGGAGCACCGGTCCGAGGCTGAGCTCCACGTGGTGGGTGAGCCAGATGACCTCAGAGCTGTGATCACCTTCCTCGCTGGGCCTGATGGGAGCAGCGAGGTTTTTAAACTCGTGCTTCATCTTGAAACTCACGGTCACTTCACCCTCTTCTTTCTGCGGGGTGACCTTGATGAAAACCCCAACCTTGTTGGCTTTTCTGAAAGCAATGACGCTGCAAGGCAGAACACAAAGGAAGGCTGGGTCAGCCAAGGTCTCACACAATTGTTCTGGGAGATTTATTCTGACAACACACAAGAGAGACATTCAGTTTATGGCTGAATATGCCCTGTTAGCACAGCTGCCCTGAGTTCTAGCTTCTGAACTCCACAGGCTCCTCCTGCCTCACAAACATCGGTATCTGCCTTTCTGTTGACACATGTGTCAAAGAGAACACCCTGCTTTGGCCATGCGAGTTCTTTGTGTGGTTCTGCCCCAGGGAAGAGCCACAGCATACAGCTCAAGTTGCTCTGTAAGAGGCTGCAGAACACATTCCATTTTGGAGAGTGGAGGCAACTGTCTTGCACCCTCCTGGATAGTTCTCACTACTCCTGTGAACCCCCTGTTTGCAAAGGAGAGGATTACACAGAGTATTGCAGGAGAGAGTTGGTGCCACCACCAATAACAACTGCTCTTAACAGCACACCTTGCCACAAAGGGAACAAATGTCTCCTAAACAGTCCAAACCACATCTTTGACCCCCCCAAAACCCACCACCAGCACAAAAACCTGGAAAAAAACCCAAACAAAACATGCTGAAGACACAGAGGAGAGTGAGTTACTTGGTTAAATACCAAGTTTTATGGAACAGGATCCCCACAAGACAGACAACACTCACTCAGGGTCATCCTGGAAGTCTTGAGGCTCTGCCAGCTCATCATATTCTGCTGCAGCATCTTTGCCAGCCAGAATAAGCTCCTTGGGAGGAACTGCCACCTGAAACAGAAGATGAAGAGAGAAGCTTTTCAGCTCTGATCACCACCTACAGTGTGAGCAGGAGAGAGCCCTCCCCTTCCAAGGGCTGCTTTACTATGGTTTAACAGAAAAGTGATTCCTCCTCCGTCCTCCTCTGCTCCAGTACTCCCTGGTTACCACTTTAGCAGCGAAATTGTGCATTTCTCCCTCAGGTCCTGAACAATTTCAAAATACTTTTATGAGGTGATGATTGGTGACAACCATTTAACCTCCAAGGAGGAAAATGCGACACAGTCCAGCAGGGACTGAAGGCCCTATGAAAAGTGTGACCAGTGGAAGGATGAATGGGAGAGGTAAACCTTGGGCTCACACAGCAGGAGGGTACAATACCTTGGCAGTGCTGTTGATGTTGTCAGGGTCCCCCTCCTCACACTCCAGCAGTGTGACATGTGTGACGTTCTCCACTGGATTGGTCAGAGTCAGGAGGACTTGGCTCTCCTGGGGAGATTCAGGAATCACAGTTCAAGAAGCAAATATTCTAAAGTTCATTCTAAAGTCAGCACCTCCTCTTCTGTGCCCGATCAACACCTTCAAACATGGCACCACACAGACTCAAGGGATGGATAGCAAACACCTCCAGTCTGTAAGAAAGGTGCCAGTGCCACGCAGCACTCTTTCTTAATGTAAGATATACATATCTTTGGAATCTAGCCAAGGTTTCAACTCCACACCTTTTATTCCTCAGATATTGACGAGTGCCTGTGATGCCAGATGTCACACTGCACAGTAATCTACTGCAGTGACAAGTACATGCAGTGTTATTCTGACCAGTCGCTTCAACCCTGCACCCTCTCGAGCGGAGTGAGCGAAGCCCTCAGGGAACAGCCATCACAGCATGTCATCTTCCAAAAGATCCCACATCCACACCTCCCATCCGAAAGGTTTCTGGAAAAACTACTGACCTTCATGTAGCGCAGGTTGGGAATAGACATGATTCTCACTTCAGGGATATAGTTACTACAGAAAGAACAAAGCAAATGACCATGATGGACTCTGTTGCTGTCTGTAACTTACTTCTCAAAGTAGAGGGATGTATTCACATACATCCATCTCACTCATTCAATGCTGTTAGAGCTTAGCTGACATTAAAACCTAAAATGAAGTGCCCTTTTGCTATATAAGCCAAATCCTACAAATTCTTGCTGCTGTCTGGGGCTGGCACAGCATGCAATGTCTTTCCTTCAGCAGATCAGGAAGCAAGCCTATTACAGATAAGCTAAATGCATTTTAAAAGGTGATTACACCACCCTAAGAGATAACATGACCAAACAGAGGTCAATTCAAGAGTACATGAAATGAAAATGAAATCAGAAGGCATTAACTAAGCACAGATAGGCAGTTGTTCCCCCCAGTCCCCACATCTCACTTACACAGCAACCAGCTGGATCTTGAATTTGATAGATGTTGGGTTGAATTCTGGTTTGCTCAGGTTATGTTCACAACTCTATAGAGACAAAGAGATTTTAGTCAGCACCAGAAGCCAGTGTGCAGTCATGCACTTAAGAATGAGAGCTGCATACACTCTGCCACTAGCCAGGACATCAGCAGCCTCTAGCACAGTGCACATAAAAACTGCCTTGGGGCAGAGGTAGCCATTGCTGTGTCAAGTTATAGACACTCCAAAAACATCATACGCAGCACTATCTGTGCAATGCCAGAAACATGGGATGTGGCTTAAAACCACTTGGACACTCACTCATTGCAGCAGGAGAAAGGCATAAATACCTGTAAACCCTTTGATACACACTCCAGAATCCATTAAAAAAAAATCAAAGACCTAGAACTCAAGACTGATCTCCTCATAGGCTACTCATTTAAATACAGGCTCAGCCTGACATGACTCACTTCTGAGAAAATATTCTGCATTTGCAAAGCATTCTGCATTTTAAATACTTACAAGAATATTGCTCCATTCTCCGGGAACTAGACAAATCCAGTGAAACCACTGAGAATGCAAGCAGCTTTTTAAAGACCATGTAATAAGCCAAGAGCAGAACTTGAATTCAGTTCTTGTCTGTCTTCACTTCCCAGCTCTCTGCTTTTATTCTCTGAAATACCCCTTTTCTGCTTTCACTCTAAGGACATCTGCAGTATTCTGCACTCTGTCTCACTAATATTTTGTTTGCTGACTTTTGTCTTTAATTATAGCAGAAATACTTTAATCCTGAGTGTACTGGCAGCCCTCTCCGATTCCCTGGCAGAGCACACAGACCTTTGTGTAAACCCACTTTGTGTCTTTATGCATCTTTGCACGACGTTGTCCCCCTTTCACAATCTTCATAACGTCAGAGACGTGACAACCTCCCTCATCTCCTAGTGCTGTTACCAGTAATTTGGTTGAGAACTTTCAACAACCAGAAGCATCTAAGCAGTTTCTTTTGAAAAGAAATACACGTTTCCCACAAGCCACGTTGTGTGAGCCAGAAAATAAAGCACTTCTTTGTGCTCCATTACCCACCCGACAGCGCAGCGAGCGTTTGATGAGGAGGTGCTTGTGACGAGGGTAGAGCTGGGAGGCGCAGATGGGCTGGAAGTCAGGCTGCAGCAGGCGCTGGCGCAGGGTCGTCACTGGGTGCACAACAAAGCCAGGCAAATCAATCTCTCAAGCACTGAAACCTGAGCTAGATTCTACATAAGTGCTGGCCTAAGAGCAAGAGTGATGTGCGCCGTGTGGGCACGCTACAGTCCCTAAGAAACTCCATTTCACCTGCACCAAATAATCCATAAGGCACTGGAAAGTATCCCTGTTTCCAGCAGTGAATGGATGGAAGGTAAGAGCTGTGTAAAGGGCTGCCCTGACTGGGTGCATTAACACAGCACCAGTGCCAGCCCAGGAGAAACGAGGGACCCTCATTTCTGTTCACAGCTCAGCTGGAATGGAAACAGAATTTTGAAATCATCTGGAAAAGTTCTTTCCCTGCCAAGGGCAAATGAGTTTTTGTTGCTTTGTTACCCTCTCAGCTGGATGCTGCATGAGCACAATACACAGCTCCTCAGCAAGGAGTCTACATAACTCAGACTCGGGCATAGAATTAGTGACTACATAGTTCCCAAGGCAAGGAACTCCCAGTGGCCAAAATTTCCTGTGGATTTCTCCCCCAAAACAGGCTGCTCACTGTTTCCAGTGTCTCAGAGACAGTGAGCCAGCTGGCAGCCTTTTCCTCTCTGTAGGGAATCATGAAAGTTGCCTTCTTTACCATCATCATCCTCTCACAATGCTGGTGGACCCACAAGAAAAGGAGACCAAGATGATCTACCACTTCCCATAAACCTCTCATGAGTTAATTAATACCGGTGGCCTCTGTAGGCCTGCAGGACTACCAAGAACATCTGTCCTATTTAGAGCCACCTCAGCAGGGAGTCTGCATTGCTTCCTGTACCTGCTAGTTTATCCCATTCACTCCCAAGTGTCACTGGTCAATTTACAGTATTTGCTGACTAAATCATGAGCCAGCTAAATAACTGGCAAGGGTACACAAGCTGTTCCAAGCTGTGTCAAGGCAATGCGCAATTGTTACTTAACAGGTCAGTTTTGGTTCCAGCTCCCCAGCCGCTCTCAGCTACTCCTTATTTCCTGCTATTATGTGAAAAAGGATGTCAGCTCTTTTCTCCATCCAAAAGTTGACACTTCACATGAAGGGAAATTAAGGTCAGCAAGAAAAGGAAACAACTGTTAAGGGGCCTGACGCATTTGGCTCCAAGATTTCCATGTACAGCATGAAGCTGAGGCTGCATTCAAAGTTACCATTTAAATAAGTAACAAATTCCCTACCATTTCAATCCCAGCATAAAAATTACTAAAATCTCAGCCCATTAGGAACCCTACAGACAAGTTGCCAAGCACTGCCCATGTTATAAAATATAAGGGCAAAAAGTGACAGAATATTAAAGTGTTACCTTCTGTCAGATTGATTGGTCTTGTGTAGTAATCCTCAGGAAGAGGTTCCACTTCTTCCACTGCATCAGCTGGCTCAATCTTGATCTCCTTCTGGTCCTCTCCTTCTTTCAAGCTGAAAGAAGTGAGGGACAACTTGGTCATAACATACAGCATGTGTGCTCTGACAGCCAGCAACTGCATTGTAACACAGAAGACAGTGAAAGCTGAGACAGTGAGACAACAGTAACTGCACAAGGATGTGAGCAGTCACTTGTTTCTATGAGGAGAAAGGAAACCATCTGGAGCTCCTGCATAGAGATGCCCAAGAAGTGACATAGCTCCAACGCTCCAAAGAAAGCTCCTTTCACTGCTAATGTGCTCACCATCTTTCTGAAGTTGTTTTATTGCTCCCTCCCCACATTTCCTACCCAGCCCCAAGCCTGAGACTCACGAGAGTCCAGCGAGGGCACTGATGGGTGCGCCGGGCCTCTGGCGTTGAAGCCTGGTTCCAAGGCCATACTTGTCCTACAAGGAGAAAAGCAACTATCAGCTTCAGGTTTGCTTCCTGCCAGCACAAAAAGACCTACTGCAAACTCATCCTGCATGACAAGCATAGGGAGACAAGCAAAGGAAAGCAAAATGGGCAAGGTATTCAATGCTTCCCAAGATATTTTTGTTCCTGCTCCAACTGTTAGTAAGGAGAAAACAATTACCACTGCACTGCAGATGGGGAGAGACAGATGTGTGTGGCCACCTCTTACAGAGCTTTTACTCTTTCTTTAAATCACCAGCCTGCACTACTGACACATTTTGCCTTGATCTACTCTTCAGAGCAACTGCATGTCAAGTAGTCCAGAATGAGAGCTCAACTGCCAAAAGAACAGGGTTGACGTGGGTATGAATCCACCTGAAATGCTCTGTAGCACTAACAGAAGCAGCTGGAAGGTTCAGCCTCCTACAAGCCTTGTTATCTACAGGTGTCTCTCAGCAAGCACTGCCAATTGGCAGGAATAGTTGAGCTACTCCTCAGCTTTCTACAGCTGAACTATATGCAGAATGCTTGAAGGCAGAAATCTTCCTTCTGGGCAGGAATGAAAACCTGAATTCTCACCAAATGAGAAGTGTGAGCATCAGCCTACACTCGTGATTTTTCAAGGATCAGAAGATTAATGTGAGTGCCATTTGCCTCAGGCAGGCAGACAGCTGTGTCCCAGCCAAGCTTTGTGATGGACTGCTCTTCAACTGTACATTACTTACCCGAAGACACTGCCCTGTTTGTAAACTAACAACAGATATTTGGGTTTGTAACCAATGCGACTCTCTAATTAGCCTTCATGTGCATTTGTTCTAGGCACATCCAAGTCAGGGACCCTGAGGCACGGTGAAGAGCAGGATCTGTCACTCCCCTTCACTAGGTACCAGGAGAGCTTTAACACCAGCAGAAACTGTGAAAAGACTTACCACTACGTGTATAGTGTGTTGCTGTGGAGAGCCCCCAAAATAGCAGCAGGTAGCAACGGAGACAAAAAATGCAGCCATAAGACAGAAGCAAGGGCACAGAGCAAGCACAGTTAATTGAGAAGTAGCAAGCATATGCAGTCACCCAGCTAAACAAAGTAAGCAGTTACCTGCAAGTTACAATAACCAAGTCATTCAAGCCACAATCAAGTCTTAAGGTTAATAAATTCATTCTCAGTTGAGACTTCATAGAGAGAAGTCCCAGACAATCCTGAGCTAATGGTTACTGAGCTCTGGTATGCAACTGTCCTGAGAAAGGGCTACCACTGGGATTGTCACTGTGGCTACAGTGCATTTCACTGCTGGGTAACGTACTCCTTCACATGGCAAGTGTAAACCCTTCTGCATTATCAGAGAGGACTATTAGAGAGAAAGGCAGTGTAATACACTACAATGGGTGTAAACCTACTTGTCCCTAAAGATACCCATGTGCCCTCGCTCATTTTCTCCACGTTGTTCTCAATTAAAAAGAGCTGAGCAGCCCTATTGTGGCTACCAACTATGTCATCTGCCATGCTGAGGCTGCTGTGCATCACTTGTCCTGCTCTGTGAGCACAGTGCTCCCAGCTCACCGAAAAGGCCAGGGGCATGTAGTTTCGGCGTCGCACCAGCTTCTTCCGGTCCCGCTCGATCTTCTCTTTCTGAGCCAACTGCTGGTAGTACTCAACCAGTTTGTTAATCTGAAGGGATGAAAGGGAAGAGATATCCAGTGAAAGGGGAACAGCTGCAGTATTTCCTTGTAAAAAAGCTGGGCTGGGGTTCCTGCTACTTGTTTTGCTCTGTTCCTAGTGCTTGATTTTGGAAGACAGACATTAAAGAAGCCTGTGTGTCCTGATGTATCTTAACCAACGCTGTGGGTGACAAACAGACCCTCCTTTGGGAGTGACACCTGTCAGAGAGCAGTGTCCAGTTCTCACCTTGCAGGCAGGCAACTGAGACTGTTCATGCACTTGCCATGACGGGACTGAATAATGTCATATGGTCAAAACCAAACAGCATCTTCACCCCCGAGGCTGATCACACTTAGTGTAGAGCCTTAACTGGTGACAGGGAAGGGTAGCAAAGGTGCAGTCCTGTTTTCCACGTCCTAGACACACTCTTGGTGGGAAAACAGCTTTTTTCACATACATATGCAACACATTCATTGGTGTTGTTTTAACAGCACTATTAGATATGATGTTTTCAAATAGGTGTCTTCTGCAAAGCATATTTTATACCGCGATATCCACAAGAGAGCCTCTAAGAGGCCTTCCTTCTACTGAACTGAGGTTAGGATCTGGAACTGCTATCTGAAGGATTATATAGATGCAAAAAAAGTGACTGAGCTGGCCTGGAGCCTCTAGCAGCTCTTTCTAGCTGATGCATCTCAGCCTTCCCCTCACTCACCCTCTGAGTGTGAGGATTCTCCGGCTCCTGCCAGCCACCACTAGCTGCAAGAGAAAGAGAAAAAACAAAGTCCTCAGGGTAAGATTTCCAGACTACACAGAGAAATCACTTCTAACACCCAGCTGCCTCAGTTTTACTCCTGAGATGACACTCCCCATTTTGTTACACTTACCATTGCAAACATACACCTCTGAAAGCTTTTCACAGGTAGGTTTGGGCTGAAGGAGCTTCACCAGCTTTTATTCTCTTTTTAAACAACTGCTGTTTGAGAGATACTCAGGACAGCAGCACCTAGGAGTCACTTTAGCAGCAGGTGCATGAGTAACAAGAATGGTCTCTTATTACTGGCTGCCTGTATCTCTGCACCTTCAGCTCCTAGTCACATCAACACTGGAAATCAAGAGTATCTGCTTAGTCTACGTAGCCCCACCTGACATACTTTCTGCACATCTTATGCACCAGGAAAGCTTGTTTCAGTGCTGCCATGAAAAGAAAAACTAACTACAAACACTGACTGGCAACTCTGGAATAAGCCTAAGTGAACGAAAGTGATGGAAAATAAATGAGATGTTTATGCTGTCAGACTGAGTGGCTTCGAAGACTCTGAAGGTACATAAACAAGACCTAAACTGTGGGGAGAGTGCACTCACTATAAAGCCCCTTGTTTGACAGCTTTCTCAGTAGTCAGGTAACACAAAGAAACTAGCTGGATTATTTGCTGCCTTCAAGGCACATACCAGGCTCCTGCTGTTACTCAGTTCTCTGTTGTTGACTGTCACTTACCGACAGACTTATCGGCCATGCCAACATCCCGGGAAGTCCAGCGACAAAATCCACAGGCCAAGTAATAGGCCTTCTTCATGGTAGTCTTGGCTGGGTCATCAGGGAGTGGAGCAGGGATGCTCGTGGCCCGAGTGGAAAGGGTGTGCATGCAGCAGGGGCAGTCAAAGCAGTTTGCACACCTGTAAGGAGGAAGGTCTATTAGACAGTGCTCTGACAAGGGCCAGGGAAATGCCCGCAGCAAGCAAATCAAGATTAAACCAACAGACTTCTCATCAGGGAAGAAGAGCAACAGAGCCATCAACACAATGGTTCACAGATGAGCTTTAAGGTCCCTCCCAACCCAAACCGTTCTATGACTCTATGACATACTGGGTGATATAAAATGTATTATGAGAAGAAGAGAAGAAGCTGTTTGAAGGAGAAAGTCTTGATGAAAATAAAGCCAAAGCAACCTTACCTATTCTTTTTCAGCTTGGCTTCAGCTGAAGGCATGTTTTCCAGGCAGCTGGGGCAGTAGTGAGAGTCCACCTGATGAAGGAGAGGGTCACATCATGCTTCCTGGCACACATTTGTCTAGGCAGCAGCATGCTGGCAGCAGCCTGAAACTCTGCCACATGATTTAACAGGGCTTTGTGCCTGCCAGCAGACAGGGGAAGCCAGGAAGGACTTGAGATGCTTTTTGTATCTGAAATCTTAACCCATCTCAGCCAGATTTTGATCTTCAATAATGTAAGCCAGGTTTCTTAAGTCAGGATAGATTAAACTATTCTGCTTAGTAAATAGGAAAAGGACAACTGGGTGTTGACCTTTTGCAGTGCCCAGAATTTCGTTTTTCAGCTTGAACAACAGGTTTTAACATGCTTTATTTCCATTTATATCTAAGTTTATTATACCCTTGTAGTCACACCGGTCAGATACACACATGTTCCAGAAAGCACTTTGTATCTGCTGTCACAAACTGATTTTGTCAATTAAAACAGTAGCAAGAAGGGGGTCCTCTTCTTGAAGGGGAAAATGAACCGATCATTAAGCACGGCAACGCACAGTGACTACACTGGTGACGCTACAGCAAAGTCATGACGGATGCAGGCTGGTGACAAATCTGTTTTCTACTCCTCAGAGGCTTTATCATTTCTGAAGAGATGTCTCCTCAGAGACCCAGGTTGCAGAGTCATTCCCTGATGGCTTTTCAAATCCACTGTAACTTCTCAATTCACACAGCCTTCCGCCGAGTGAGTTTTATTGATTTTATTAGGGGTGATGTGAGTCATAGGAGCAACCCCGGGATCAAGGCTTGCAGTGCCCCATGCACCAGACCATTGCTCCAGCCTGATGATCACCTA